ACACCTTAGTGGAAGACCTATGGTAGTCATAAAAAGCAAATCCACCATATTTGTTCCCCAGGTCCACCAGCTTGTGCATATAGCGATCAAATTCTTCAAACATTAGGGTACACTTCACAAATTACATCTCTAAAAATATCAAAGGCTAACACAAATTCTAGAATGGTCAGTTTACGGTTTAACCTTGCGTCTTTGGATCTGACCACTACAGAAATTTCATCGTACATATAAGTTTTGTTCTCCACCACATCCTGGGAGGCAATTAGTAGGGATGCAAGGTTGACGTCTTTGCCTTCCAGGATGTCCCTCTTAATGTGGGCTGGGATAGTGTATGAAGGGTCAACGTACTGATAATCTGAGGAAATAACCATACCCGTGGCCTGTGGTTCGGTTGGTGCCTGCTGAGCAGTATCAGGAAGACCAGCCTTGATGAGGGCTGTGGTGACCGCCTCCAGATTAGCCAGTCTGTCATTGACCTTGCACATAGAGGTCATGAGTGAGGCCAGCATAGCCTGGATTTCACCTGAATTGGTGTTGCGGGGGCAGATTTGAAGAGCAGAAATAGCCGAACGCGTACAGTAAGTGAGGACCTGAACTGTATTTGATGCCGTGGCCTTGTTGCCTGGCGTAACGGTTCGGTCTACTTACGGTTTGATAGACACTAGGACGCGATCCGCGGCGATAGTAGGCAAGAAGCTGATCCAAAAGAAATCTGCAGAAGGATTCCTGGACACAGTTCAGCGATGGAAAACCTCGTGGGACACAGAAGTATTCCAAAATGGTGACTGGATGAACCGGAAGTGCATTCAGACGCTGACCTTGAACGGTGTGGAGTCAGGTAAGGGTTGTACCTTATATAGGGGAGTGAATTAATTTAAGCCCCTCCCACAAATACAGGCCAAACGGCCTTAACACATAAAATATATATATAAATAAACAATCTGTGTGATACAAATGCAATCCAGCAGACAACAATGATAGTCTAGAATAATGCTACATATGAGTAGAATAAGACCAAAAGGTGCTCTGTTCTAAACACACCAACAATAAAAATAAACAACAACAACAGAACATGTCTTATGGCGGTTTGACATGCAATTGGTTTGAAACACCTGGTTATTTTTACGTCCCTTGCCCTGGATGGCTGGATTTATATTGCAGTCAGTTACTCTGCTCCTCAATAACTAGAATAGAAATTACACCAGCCAGAGAAGCGGTGAAAGAAAACGACTTTGATGACATAAGGCCATGTATAAAAGCACTTGTGGTTCTAATATGCTCAATAATTTGTTGTTGTAATAACTTTTGTGATGGAAAATAATTCTGCTTGCTCAACCATCGGATGTCAGGGCTAAGGATACAAAAATCTTCCTCCTTCTCCGTATACACACATGTACCACCCTACACATACTAGCAGAGGTAACAATTTTTAAAAGACTGAAAACATGGTGGGAGTCAGTCATCAAAGGGGGAAAAGGAAGTGGGGCATATGAGAATTGGGATATATTGTATGAAGACAGAGGTTTTGGAGGTGGGCTATTTTAGGGCAACAGTCTTTTTTATAATTATGCCAAAGACTAGGAAAGGGGTAAAGGACCAAGGCGATATTGCTTAATCTCGTTATCGGGTATTACTCTTAATCCTTCAACACATCTGGCAGAGGAGAGATTAGGGAGCCAATAAGAAGCCCATAGTTTCCCAATCATTCTCTTTAGCCTCTAAAGGAAGGAAAGGTAGAACTGGGCTCCCGTGTGGCTATAAAAATGACATAAGCGATTTTGGCCACTGACATTACAAACTGTGCAATGCTGCTGTTCTTTGTAAAATCTACATGCATTTTGATTTAATTTATGGTTATGGCTAGGTACCTTGCTTGTTGTTTGGCTTTCACCTTTCTCATTCTTCAAAACTTGGTAGTCTTCTGGAACTTTAACATAAAACTGGCATTGGAGAATGTGCCCTTCCTGGGGTACTCGGTAGATGGCAGCCTGTCAGTGAACACCTACTACCTGTAAGACACATTACTTAAGCCTAACATAGTGTATTAATCCATTCTTCTCTATGTGACCCCTTAACGACACAATGGATTTTTTCTGTCGTGATGTACTTCCCTTCAGGTCATATAATGGAATAATTACGTTGTGCGTTATTTTACCAGCCAGGACTGTTGCTGGTAAAAAGGGAAACCTAGGTATTGTTAAATATCTAATACTCCCCACTGTCAGCTTGGGCTAGAATTAGCTGCCCAATGTCAACTATGAGCTGTATGCAGCTCTCACAGTGATTACCACCGAGGCAATTACATCCCCATGTATGGAGCCAAGTCCCTGCTCACACCTGGGAGACCCATACATTGGGCTCTCCACTGTCAGTATGGTTCCAATAAAAAATTTCCATAACTGACAGATGACCTATAAAAAGCACTTAAAGTAAGCGCTGAATACAGCTGTTTAAATCAGTTGAAATCATCACAGCTGAGCAACGCACTTAACCACAGTGATTCTGGGCTCTGGGAAACCTGCATTCCCCCATGCCATTTTGAGCGGTTCTGGACTTTGCAAGTTGCCCACCACCGATCACATTGTAATGGCATAT